GCACTGATGCACTTTTGTTAGTAACACACTTGTGCTACTTGTGATTTGTTTGAGCTGCATGTGGTAGATTACAGATTGTTGAAGTCAATCACCAGAAAATTCCGTCCTTCCAATGTGATCTTTGAATTCATGGCCATGGCTGCCTCGTTAATGGATGGTTACAGAGGCCATGAGCTCGCTGGAACAGGTCAGACAACTCTCTTACAAGTCATTTCTTGCCTGCCTCTTATTCCTGTTGAGTGAAAACTAAAAATTAAATAAATTATTAAAATTAAGAAAAAAAATTATTTAACATAAACTTGACAATTTCTTAAGGATCATAAAGAGGTTGATGCAGATTTATGAACATTAGAAAAAAAGAACATCTAAACAAAAAACAAATGAGGATGATTGCGAGGAAGACGTACTGTATTGGTTGCCGACAGCCAAAAGATGATGTAGGAAGCATAAAACTTCAGCCTTTAAAACATTCTTGCAATAAAACAAATGCAACACTTCAAATAACTTAATACATTTTAATAAAGAAATAACAGTATAATAGAAATTTTGAGTTTCCTTGAAATATTTTAATGCTAACAGTACCAGCAGTACCTTTGTCCTATATATAAATATATATAGGGTGGCATCATCAATCTGTAGCTGAGGAATCATTCAGTGACTAAAAATGGAGTTGCAGGACAAGATTCAGACCCCCCAGAGTGAAGTTGGGTTCCCAAGGACTAGAGATCACACCTTCTCTGATAAGCTGAAGGGAGATGCTTCCTGCATGATGTTAATGTTGATCTCTTGGGCAATCTTCTCTTTTTGCTTCATTTATTTTCATGCAGGTGTCGAAGCTAGGATTTGGATGCATGGGTCTCAGTGGGATATTCAATGCACCAGTGAGTGACTGAGGTTCGGATGTCCATCATCAAGCATGCTTTTGAGAGTGGCATCACCTTCTTCGACACCTTCAACATTTACGGGCTTGCTGAAACGAGAGCTTTACATCACGACAAGATGGTGCCAACCAAGGAAACTGTAAGTAACAAAACCTAGAAGATCTCTATTTGTGTAACAGACAGACCAATTGTCATGGAGTTAGTTGGATTTACCAAAGCCATTCAACATCCTTGTGATACCTGCTCACAAAAGATCAACCTTCCCGTGACCTTTGTAGCCACATAGGACCTGCAAAGTGAGAAAACGAATTAGTAACACACACGCGATCTTCCTTCTAAAACATAAATACTCGGGTCACAGAAGCAAAACAAAAAAATAACACCATAGCAGATGGACAACTTCATGCATGATTGCATGACAAAGGGTCATGCATTTGCTTATACCGATCAATCTTCCTCATTTAAGACTTGACATCCCTGATAAAATCTAAATATAGCATAAAATCAAGCTTCACGGTGCATGTGAGATTTAACTTAGTAGTAGCTTCATGTTGTAGATGAAACTACTGATCCACATATACCTCTCTTTCTACTTGGATCTCTTATCATATTTAATATTGAATACTGTCCCTATTACCGAGACCAATAGAATAATTGATCCATTCATTCTAACACCAATAATTGGCTCAATTGTCCTCTCACATATGATGATGTGGGGCTAAACTAGAGTATTGTACATTCTGGTTTGTGCTAGATGGGCAAGCTAAAGAAGCTGGTGGAAGAAAGCAAGGTGAAGTATGTCGGACTATCATAGGCAAGTTCGGAGATGATTCAGCATTCCCACACTGTGCATCCCATAAGTGCAGTGCGGATCGAGTGGTCTCTCTGGTCTCAGGATATTGAGGAAGAAATTATCCCAGTTTGCAGGTATGAGATTATTTTTGGTTATGCTCAGAGTTGATTGATACACAACTTTGCTGGCATTTTGGAAGAGTAATGTATTGTACTTGTAATGCCAATTTCTTTGTGACCCATGCACATCCATATGATGATGAGAAGACAAAAGAACAACAAGAGAACAGGTTCACCTGAATTTATCCGGTAGAGAATTTGACATTGGAATTGTCCCATACGGTCCTATCGGTCACGGATTCTTGGCTAGCAAAGGAGTTGCAGAAAGCTTACCTCAGTATTCATATCCGGTAGAGAATTTGACATAAATTAATCTTTTTCGAACTTTGATTCTAGATTTTGATGAAGTTAGGTTTTTGTACTAAAGATGTATTGTCATACCTGAATGTTTCAGTGCTATAAGAACAGCCTGTCAACTGATAACCATCCATGAATTTCTCTCAGAATTGGCATCCAAGGTTCACTGGAGAAAACTTGGAAAAGAACAAAAGACTCTTAGAGGATTAGAGAAGTTGGTTGTGAAGCATCACTGTACACCTGCACGACTGGCTCTGGCTTAGCTCCTTCGCCAAGGAGATGATGTGGCTCCTATCCCTGGTAAGTTTACAGAAAAACCTACCGTCAGTGGTGTTTCAGATTAGATTTTCTGTTCAAAAATCAGAATCAATGAAAGAGACCGGAATACCTGTTTTATACTAAAATCAAAGGTCATGTCCTCCCTCTGCTTGAAGAAGATTATATTTTGTTCAGGAATCTCGGTTCTGACATATCAAGCATTTTTTGCTGGGTTATGATCCTCTGGTTGCTGCACAAATAAATTCATGATGCCATTATGCACTGGTATATTACACATTTGTCTGGCACCTGATGTTGTGAATAATATCAGGTACAACCAAGTTCAAGAACTTGGATGACAATGTTGTCACTTCTGAAAGTGAAGCTCACAAGCAAAGACCTGAAAGAAATATCTGATGCGGCCCCCAGAGATGAAGTGGTAGGTCACACAACCTATGCTTCTGTTGCATCATTCAGTTGGAAGCATGCGAACACTCCCCCTCGTCATGGTAGTTTCTCTGCTTAGGAATTCCTTGTCATCTGCCTGGACAACAATATGCAAATTGTTCTGTTTGCCTGTTTGAAAGTTGTACCAAATCGATGCTATGTAAGACTGGTATATATTGAAGCTTAGCAGTGTCATGTTTCTGAGTTCATGAGACACATGAGTTGGCGTGCTTGTCAATCCAAAAATCTAAATAATATGCACCATCAGAAACACCCTTATTTTTTATGTGTCTGTCCACATGTGGTAATTTGAATTATTGAATTTTATCAAACTACTAAACTTGTAATCACCACAGGTTTAAATATTTAACAAAATCAACAACCTTATTGCAGATAATGATATCCAGAAATGTCAACAAAAATGATCCAGTTAATCTCCACCAGAATATTTTAAACAAGAAAGATCTTTCCCTTGATTCCCTAGTACAACTATAAATACATATCACAATTTCCATCAGAATTTAGTTTTTGCCAACTAGGAGCAGACAAAACATGGGAGGAGGATCCTCCCATGTTTAATCAATAGCACTGCAATGAAAGGGGTCTGACTAGATTACGGCAACAAAATAATTGAATTTCATGATATAATGGTACATGTGAAGACCCCAAAGATGATGTGATGCGGCATCATGATGAATGGTTCAATAAAATACATTCCATGTAAGAAATTTGGGCCTAAATTTCCATATTCTGATGTACAACATGAACCATATCACCATGTAGGAAATGAGAAAATGATGTGCTGAAGGGTGTCTTTAGATTAATTGAACCAATGCAGGGAAGGTAGAAAGACTCCAACCAAGATACGAACTATTGAATTGCCACCCTATCTGGGATTGGTGGAACTAAGAAAGCCTAATTTGTCAGCCAACATATTCACAACCTCGTTACCTCCAGACTCAGTTTCAAATCTACCTTTCTCACCATCGATCCCTTCATTTAGCAAGTCGTCCCAAAATTCATCGTTCAGCTCCCCATCTGATTTGACATCTTGCAGCTCAAACTGTTCTTGATTGTTCTCGTCGACCAGTTCCTGTATCTCTCGAGCCAGACTACCCAAACTTGAGACCTCCTCCACATGGAAGTCATGTATATCCTCGGCTTCAATTTTAGTAGAAATATTCAGTTTTGGGTTTCCACTTGTGCCCACATCATCATTCTCAGGAGCTCTATCTATCGGTCGTCTTCGTTTCTTAGAAATGGCCTCTTCAAGCTCTTTAATCCTCTCTTTTTGCTCAACTAACTGCTGTAGGAAGCTGGGGTTCCGCATAAACCGGGCTAAGAATGTCATCATTTGCTGCTGTCTCTGTTCTGTTGCAAGTACCTTCTCTTCCATATCTTTGAGATGGTTTCTTGTGTTCTGCTGCTCCTGTCTCAGCTTCACGAGTTCTGTCAATAACAATTGCTTGTCACGTTTTAACCTGTTGATTTCCCCTTCCAACCCAAATTCTCCCACCTCAAGAAAGGAAGAGAGAGGCTGCTGCTGCAAAGGAGGATAAGCGACTTGCTTTCTCCTCTTTATGGTCTTGAGGAGGTGCCTTTGGCCTCTGAGAAACCCCTCATTAGCAAATTCCCATCTATCTGGATCCACCTTCCTGAAACCCTGCATGGATATCCAATGTTATAAGAAGCAATACAACAGATGGAAAGTCTGACCAATGAAATCTAAAGACATTCTGTTTTCAAGAAACCTCATAATTATGCAGTCGAAAACATGAAAAGCAAACAACTCAGATTTAATAACTGAAAAGCTAATAGAAAAAGCCATGATAGCTGGTGCCAGAAGAACATGGAAACACAACAGCAAAATAGGTTACTCAAAAAAAATCGTTTCTACTGGAAGAGTCCATGTCATTCTGTGTATCTTCTTTCTATATTTTCTTCTCTAACTTATGAGACATGCAACATGCAACTTGTGAGTATTCTCCTACCCTGGAAATAAACAATAAGATATTACCGAAGAGAAAAACTATAAAACTAAAAGAATACTCCTTCGCCTATGTGCTTATGCAGAGAGTGATGAGAAGATAGCTGCAGAAGCAGGTAAAGTGTTGCTGCATAACCAGAGACTACCTCTTTCTTGCCCTTGGAATCAAATCTTATGGTGTACATAATTACATTCAATATAACATGCAACCATTAGCAACAGAAGAATTAGAAGTGTGTTAAAATTAATATTTTCAAGTTTGGGTACTTGACTCGTACCATTATGGATCCAAATTCTACAAACGTACCATATGCTGATACATCAATACGTACCTCATTCTAAAAAAAAAAAAAAAAAAAGGGTACAGTCCTTTATACTGCTGAACCATTACATCTTGTCCATGAGTGATTTATTTATGCACAAAAAAATGGATTTATTTATGCCGTCAGATGAACGAGATAACATAATGAATAAACCAAGTAAGCTAAGAATTCGACAGCAGACAACTAGAAGGGTGTATAAAATGAGCCACATTGGAAATACTTACATAGGTATTCAGTTGTCGGACAAAGCTGGAGAAGTTGTTGTGCTTGAAGTATCTTGGGAGCAGAGTCATCGCGAATGCGTGAGGGTTCCAGACCACAAAGCTGTTGTTCCTCGGGCTCCATGACACAACTTGATCGGTGCTGGGGTCATCAACTATCTCGTAAGTCTTCATAAGGAAAGGCGGTGGACCAACATCGTGCAGTCCATCCAATGGCTTAGGAGGATCCATGGCGACATCGGTAGAAGAGGCGGATGCATCAGAGAACTCCTGATGTTCCTCTTTCACTGGGTTCAGATTAGGATCCATGGTTGAAGAGAATGTCAAGAAAGTTGGCAAGATTAGTGAAAACTTGGAAAGGAAGTTACAAGCTCGAAAGGGCTAATGCAACCAAGCAAAAAATAGAATTGAGAACACTTCCTAAATCAGCCAAATTTGTAGAAAAAGGATGTTTAAAAAGAAAGTTAGTGCTTTGATTTCGCAATGGCAATCTAACTACAAGATTGGAGCAAAGGAAGGTTTTTCCAGGTCATAAAGCCAATAAAACGTACAACATTGCGAACTTGGGAAGCTGTGAGTCAACAGATAGAACAGCAATAAAAGGGAAATTGGTCCGCAGCAAAGATCAAGAAATCAGCGAGAACAAATTTCGCTGTAATGAATGGAATATAACGAAACAGTATCGGGAATGCTGAAGCTTTACGACCAAAACAACTACCAACAGTAAAAGGAGCTACAGAGACCCAATTTTTCCTTCAGAATAACGAGATGTCAGAGCATGAAAGAGCCGAGTTCATCGATGAAGAGGGGAAGAGACAACATATTGAGGAAAGAAAAGGAAAAGGGCCCATCGGAACGATGGCAGGGTGCACGAAAGAGAGACGAACGCAATCACAAGTAGAAACTTCGATGCGACGAATGGGAACTAAACGAAGCAGAGCCGGGAATATCTGAAGCCTCGCAACCAAATCAAAGTAAAAGAAACAAAAGGGAACAACAGTTCTTCAGTAGGGAGCTACAAAGACGCATCCTCCTCCTTCGGATTAACAAGATATCATAGCATGAACGAGTCGAGCTCATCGAACGAGGGCGGATCACGACTCCAAGAGAGAGAGATTGCGGCGAATCAAAGCGTCGAATTCGACGGAAGATTCCTGCAAGGAATCAAAGAAAATGCGGCATCTCGTCGGACCGTGTTGCTGGGAGAGCGCGACCGAGGATGAGCCGAGAAAACCAAAAAAAGAGCCCCTTTCCTCTTCCGTAGTGGAAGTTTCTAGAGCACGTGTGGTGGGACCTAGAAGCTTCTAGCGCCAACCAGGTGGGATCCTGTCGGCTGGCAACCACCAAGCACGGGAAAGGAGAGGAAGTTTCTGGAATCGAACTTGGTGGGCAAACGTAGCAATACCAAAACACTACCGTTAGGGACAGTAGTGTTTTATATGTCAAATATAAATTTTATTTTCACTATCAATGCTAAAAATTTTATTAATATATTAAATAATATACTAAAATTTTATTATTCAAACATATCAATACATCATATTAGAATCACTAATAAAAATGTCATGTTATATTTCCTTATCTAATCAATCATAATATGTTATATTTTTATTTTATAAATTAATTTTGTATGTTTTTTTCAATTAATTTCATTCGACTATGACCACATATACCTTATTCTTTACCATCCCAAGTAAATCATAGAGTTGATTATAATATCTCGATTAAGTGGATAAGATTAAGATTAACTTATAAGGATTTAATAAATATACTATTATTAATATTAACTTAAATATTTTGATAAATGATTTAGGTACATTGATAAATTAATTAATTTATCAAACTCGAGTCATGATATTTAGTATCAGAGCCGATCTATTAAAACTAACATTGGTTTTATAAGAATCTTTGTCTGCATTGATTATCGTACCAAATAATCATGAAGTATAAACAGCAATTCACCTACAGAAATGTGTAGATATTATTATCAGCATTTATTAGCATAGGAGTTGCTGCATTTGAGGCCAATATCTCAGAAGTTTCTATATTGGTTGTTCCCTGTTGTTTCTTGAAGTCATCAAACTCCTACATTTGTGTGGGATTCCTATTTCTTGCATGTGTTTGCATGCTGCATCGTTCTTGTTCTGATTCCTATTGCTGCATTCAGCTTCTATCTTGTATCATTCTTGTTCTAATTATTGTTGTTATGCTTAGTTCCACTCTAATGCACCAGTTTCCTTTTCTTTCTTTTTCTTTGACTAAAACATCCCACAGAAAGAAACATAGATTCTCATCTTATTGATTTTTTGATTCAGCAACATAGGAGTTAATTTGGAGATTGGGAAGAGGTCATTTTGGAAGCCTCTGTTTCTTGGCATTTTTGTTGTTTGGGAAGAGGTCATCTTATTTATTTTTCTTTGACTGTTTGTCGATTTGATTAGCTACATCGTTCAAACTGGATGAATCAACTGCACTTCTTTGTCACACAATGCTGAACATGGAATCTATCTGCATTATAATTGCAAAACCTAATCATCCTATGTTCATTTGACTTCATCTCCTTCTTCACTGCATCAGATTTGAAGCAATGGCCAATCATCTCTTCCAAAGAGTGTCTCAAATGGACATTCCATGTGAGGTTGGTGGTGAGATGATTTCCTGTCTGTATACATTTAGTGTTTCTTTGATGATGTAATCGAAATCTAACCAGCAGTCTCCCTGAACATTTGATGGAGCTGGAGAAGAAGATTAGGAACTGAACCATTGTTTTTGTCTGTCTCCTGACAGATACCTTAGCCTTAAGATTATCTCTTGCTAAACTGAATAAAAGATTTGTGAATCACTGGCATTTATTTGTATGATGTTGCAGTCATGGTTGCTAAATGACTGCCACTGAATCTAAACCAGGAAGAAAGAGAATTGTATGAATTGATTCATCTTCATGATCCTCCAGTCTGTTCACAGTTTCTGTGATGTGCACATCAAGCAACCCATCAAAGCAGTAAGTGTTCTCACAAATCTGGTGTCTTCACCTTGTTCATTATATCATGTTAAAGTCTGATCAGACCCTTCAGGTGTTTTGTGCTCCCTGCATTCAAGCAACAATGAAGTTTGACCACAGATTGGTGGCAGCACTGCCACTGAGTAATATCTATTAGCTTGTCAAGCATTCACTGTTGAAACACCAAACTGGCTTTTGGAACAGGGGAATTTGTAGTTGAAGCTGCAGACTACTACTATCAAAAATATTTTTTTTTGTATTTTGTATCTTTAATATTTAAATATTTAAAAGGTCGAGTTCTTGTCCTCTTCCTGCGAAATCCACTCTCATCAATCATGAATCTCCGGTTCTATCATCTCTTTTGCAGATAGTGGGGCATGAAGAATGTGAAAGGAGGAACAAGAAAAGGAAAAGGGGAGAGGGGGGCAACAGAGCTTTTGATCTTTCAACCACAAGATTTGCCTTTTTTTGTTTTAGCTTCGGTCAAAGATTCTTCCCAGCCATGAGCAGTGAAAGCAAGTGGTGAACACAAACCACTGCTCTTTCCTCCATCGGTAGATGTACAGCAAACCCGGCGAAGAACAAGAGACAAAAAATATCTAGACTGCACAGGAATCACCGTCGCCTCCCTTCCCGTTCTTTACAGTGGCGGTTGGATACCACGCATGCGTGCAGCTCGCAGTTGGCTTTCGATCGTGTCGTGTTCAGGCGACGTGCTTCTTCTCGTTGACGATGTTGAGCAGGCGGGAAACGCCCTGAGTCCACATGTCGTACTCCCTCCGGCTGCGGCACTCGAACTCTATCACGCGTTGCTCCGCCGTCCGCAGCCCGAAGTAGCAGCGCTGCTCACCGCCCTCCAGTAGGTGCCGCCCCGGCCATGCTTGGATGTCCTTGCAGACGTCCACGACGACATCTGCAAAGGAGCAGTTTCAACGGCACGTGAGACCTGGAAGAAAGAGGGAGCTTCAGGTGCTTGTCGTCGTGCACGGGACTCACTCTTCTTCTTCTTGGTGATGGTGCCTGCCACATGCCGGCTCTTCATCTTGATCATCACCTGCAGCGCCAGGAACAACATCAAGAACTCATCGTCTCGAAGTCGGGACTGTAACTGCTGCAAGAATCAGATTACCTGACCCATTTTGTTGATGTAAACGGAGACGATCTTCCAGTGAAGTGCGCCTGCTAGTAAAGATCAGCTCGCGAATTGGTTTCACGAAGCTCCCAACAAGAGATGAAATGGTGGAGGGCTGGGAACATCACCTTTCCGTGTGCGTTTGAGCAGCTCGGTGCCTCGAGCGAGGAGCTCCTGGCTGCAGAGGCCCAAGAAGTTCTCCTCCGGGACGAGCTCGTCGCTGAAACTACTGCTGTTGCTGTCCAATTCCTTCTCTTGCTTGCTGCGGCGGCGGTGGTTGGTGTGGTTCGCCGACCCTCCCTTCTCGACCGGTATGACGGCGGCGATGTTCCACACCTCCTTCAGCGCCCTCGCCTTCAGCGTCGCCGCCCCTCTCAACGCTGCCAATGCATGGGAAGTCTCATGGACCGACGAATAGACCGAGGAGAACAACCTGGGTCGTGAGCGAGAGGATGTCGACATTGTTACCGGTGGCGGCGGCGGCGGTGAGAGTGACGATGTCCCCCGGCGTCCGGACGCTGACAGCAGAACTAACCACCGACGCCAGGTGCTCGCGCTCGGCCCCCATGCTCTCAGCGGCCTCGACGCACTGAGCGGCCACCAGGGTGGCGGCCGAGGCCACGGCCATGTCGGTCCTGGCGGCGCGGTCGTCTTTGCCGGAGCCCGAGGCGGCAGCGGTAGCCGCTGCGATGGCGGCGACTGCCGCGGCCACCCCGGCCACGGAGATCGCGGCATGGAGCTGCGCGTTCTGGGCCCGGGTCTCCTCCTTCTTCTTCTCCTTCCTATCCTTCAGCCACCTCCCAACTGTCTTGCTCGTCCCCCTGTAAGGTTGCGCCTTCGGTGCGTTACCAGCTCCACAGAACTGCATGGATTCCACCATTATTAAGCTCTTGCGATAGCCACGAATTCTAAAGCACTTCCCATGTTCCAAGAATTTGCCAGACCAATTACTTCCAACTTATTTCCAACACAGCTTAACAGGTTTCAAGAGACAGTAATGGAGGGGAATTGAGGTGATCAAGGATGCAGAGGAGGCTAACACTGTGAGAGAAAGCAGTTTGCCGCTTTAACGAGGGCAAAGAGGAGACAAGCTCTGCAGAGAGGAATGACAACTTCTTTGCTCACAAGCAAAACGAAGCCCACATCCCAACGCAGGCTCAGCTCAGAAAGAAACAGGACAAAAGAAGTGGCCTTTGCTCCCATGCGCAAATTGCACAGGACAACAGCAAGAGTAGAAACCAAACCATCAATGAACTGTTGTAAGGTGGATCGATCAAAGCTCGAAAGGTGGCATTTTACGAGGACGGAAGATTACTGGGTGTGTGGAACTGTGAAACCAGAGCTATGTGGGGGGAGCAAAAAGCTCGCAGATGCTAAAGAAAACAGTCGTCCAAAGACGGGCCCTGGAAATGAGATGTCAGTGGTTTTATTGGAAGAAGATAAAGCCTCGTTTTCTCTGCCCTTTCTCCGTTCTCTTTTTCTAGCTTTCTTTTTCTCTCTCTCTACGCTGACATTATAGAGAGACGACTGGAAACAGTTCGGTCGTCACTATGACTTCGTGCAGTGTCTCCATCTGACGAAGAATCCGTCGTCTTTGTTCACAAGAAGACATTGTTTTCTTCAACACGAAGAGGAGCAAGGAAGGAAGCAACTGAAGAATTAGCGAGAAGGAGAGAGAGAGAGAGAGGAGAGGAATGACCTTGACGTCGTCCATGTCGGAGGGGGAGACGGGAGGGCTATCGGAGAGTGATCCGCCGCCGTTGAGAGGTCCACTGCTGTGGGAGAGCCTTCCTGATGTGAGAGGAGCCACTTCCTGCCATGGCAACAAGAACAGGGGAAGGAAACAGAGTAACAAACATCAGACTTCAGCATCAGAAAAAAATTTGGTTTGTAGTGGAAGAGAGGATTGATAAGGGAGATGGCACGCGGCTCACCGACTGCGACATGATCCGCTCCATGACGAGCTGCGAGGTAGCGGAAGAGGCGAAGGAGAAGGTGTTCCCTGCGACCGCTGCCGCGACGCCGAGCTCCTCCACCTCGGCGGCGGCGTCCTCGGGGATGGCGGCCGGCTGCGGGGGC